GAAAACTTAATTACTTAAATAAACATACCTTGATGAATTGGATGGAGATAGTTGGCTGCCAGATGTACATCTTTTAAACCATAAATAATGCGGCTTTCAACCAGGTCTTCTATCTCCTGCACAACATCCATGTCGCAAAGAGGCCAATCCTCCAGGACTTCTGATATTTCTTTCTGCATTCTAGCCAAGACAGTTGGAACGTCAGCTACAGTGCGCTCATCTCCTTCCAAGTATATTATACTGCTCACTATTGGTTTTAGTAGTTTTCTAGTAGAGTTTACCAATTCCCAGAAATCTTCATCAAGTACAATAGTTTTTATTGATGAGTCCTTAAATTTAACTCTAGAATCAATAACTGTCTCTTTAAGTTCTTTCTTGTTTTTCTGCAAGCTGGTCAACATCTCTTCTGTTCCTGACCACCTTGTTTTTCCTGGTAATTTTAAAGTGACTGCATTTTGTCCGTGTGCCCTCTTTTGTTTTCTAGTGAAAATAGCTAGAGGTACATGACACCGTTTAAATGACTTCACCACTTTCTGGCACTTGTTGAGTACTGTCTTGATTGATGGTAGTTTTGCAATATCTTTGGTAAGAAGGTTTAGAGTATGAGGTGAACAACCATAACAGGAAATATGTTTGTACTTCTCTTCAATAATTTTCCATGCCTTTTTCATTACTGATGCATTATCAGTGCAAATGCCACTTACTTTTTCAGGGCCCACCTTTTCAATTATTTTAATTAATTCACCACTCACATACTCACTAGTTTCTTTTTCTTCCCCTGGCAATGCCATGTCATAAAATAATGGAGTGGGAGTTGTTATTATAAATGCCATAATACCTTCATTCCTTGCATTCGAATAACCATCTGTTAAGATGCAAACACTATCAGCCTTCTCAACCTGGTTCGCAACACTTTTGTTTATTTCTTCATAATGGTAATCAAGCAGAGCATGACGCAAGTTCCAGTCAGATGGTAGGTCAAATGAGGGTCGGACTTCCTTGAAAAACTTAATCCACTCTGGTGATGAGAATGTAGAAAATGGTAGATTGCTCATAATCATTGCCTTAGACAGAAGAGTCTGGAGCTTTAGCTTTTCATTATCTGTCATTCGGTCTAGAAACTGAGGGACTGACAAAGGCCGTTTACTTCGGTTAACTTCAGATGTAGAAGTAGAAGCTGCAGTACCGGATGGTGATGAGTCAGGGACATTCTCCTGAGGTGTATCTACCTCCTCTCCCTGAATATCCTGTTGACTGGAGGAAGAGCTGGGGGCCAGAGCTTCTTTGATATCAAATGGTATCTTCTTGCAATGCTTAGCAAGATGCTCGGTCATTCTGGTAGCGTTGTAAAACTTCCATGTCTTCCTGCAATATTTGCATGTGGAGGACAAAACTATATTTCGGTTGTCCTTCTCGACAATATAGCTGCCGAGCGTCAAAGTTTTTGTTGGTCTCATTCTGGAACCTGTAGGATAAAAGAAAAGTAAGGTTAGGTTGTTTATAGTTAGATAATAATGAGAATTAACCGCGATGGCGCTATGCCTCCTATTTTGATTCGAAACACACGATTTTCAATCAAGCCTTTGTTTTACTGTCTCAAATATAGACTGCTTGTCATTTGAATCTTTTATTTTTCTCTAGGCTAGGGGCTCTCTCTGGTCAGCCAAAACTCGAATCCGAAAGAATAATCGGCAAGTTAAAGTCAAAATGACAAAGAAATCTAATCATTCTCTTGTTTACACAACAAACAAATTTTCGATTCAAGTAAAAGCTACACGTTTTTAATATAACTTTACTTACATTTAAGTGTGGACGAAGTATAGCAAACCACACGCCTCCCCACCGAACGGCCTGAACGTCTCCTACCTGTAGTACAACACCACACCAGCCGCACCGCCCGCAGCGCTCGCAGCAGTGCCGGGCAGGCCACGAAGCACACGACTGCAGAAGGAGGAGGGGATGGGGGGGGGGGAGGGAAGTCCAAAACTGAGAGAGGGGTGCAGAGAGGGTGTGCGTTACGACGTAGGGGATGAAATACGCTATTTCCGAAATGGTCAAGTTAGTGAAATCATCTGAAATCCATTTTAAAATCCTCACAAATCGCAAAAATCTTAATATTTACTGAAAAAAGGGCAAATTTCGTAAATTACTCAAAAAAACAGTTTTTTACTGTTTTTTACCCGGGTTTTTTACTCGGAGTCAAAAATACCGGTATTTCTCGAACCCTAAACAGATGCTTAGCTGTTAGGACAGCAGTACGTCGCTTTTAGCAGCGCGCTGTCTTGACGTTCCACCTGTTTTCACCTACAAAAAAAATAATAAAACGAGAGGGAAGGATAAGGACACGTTTATTTCTGAAAATATTCAAGAGGTTCCTCTTGATGATTGCGCGCAGTACGAACGGCAGCGTCAGCGGCCTGCTGCGTGCTGCGTGCTGCGTGCTGTGAGTTGGTGTGCGTGCGTCGCTTTAATTAAACCCTTGATGTGCGGCTTTATGGCGGTGAGGTGGGACCCGGGGGCGCGCAGGTGCCACGTGAGGGGGAAGAGGGGCATTTGTTTGATTTTTGTTGGAAAAGGGGGCGGGGGCGGGAGACTGCTTTTCGTTTATATCGATGTTTTCGTGTCACTTTAAATTACTTTCACCCAATGTACGGTAGACTAAGTCCATCTATATCTTTCCTCAGAACGGTCGCTGCATCTCTAGTCTCATGTAAATATGTCGTGCGTACACCTTTGCCACACATGATTCAGACGACATCGTACTTTGCAAACAACGCTTTACAATTTGCAATTTCATGAACTGCAGTTCGATTATTTCAATATCACAAGCGATGCTGCTAAAAGGAAGCTGTAAAGAAAACTTGACTTTGCAGTTGCAAAGTTATTTTTTTTTTTTTTTTAGTATACGAACCCGGAACGGCCTTTTGCAGGGATTAACGGCAGCTTTCTACTCAGGCTACAGGTTATTGGCTACGGCGCGTCTGCTAGTCCTGGTCCTCGACTCACTGTCTGGACGCGAGTGTGGCGGTAAGCGGTGCAGGATGCGAAAGCGGCGCACCGCGGAGCGCTGCCCGTGAATATTGCATGAAACACGTCCCCGCGAATGCTTTTCTCCTGTACCGCCGCGTCGCCAGCTCCGCTGCCCCGTCACCGCTCGCGCCGCCAGGTTTCCTGTCTGCCATTTCACGTTTGTTATTGTCCTAAAATGCGGTGATATGCAGCTGCACTGTCGGAATCCGTACGTGGCGTGTATGGCGTTTTCCGTTTGCAGCAGTGGCTTACTCCACATGAACAGCAGAACGCCACAGTTAAAACAAGCAGGCGTCTGTATTCCATGGCCGAGGCGGCAATAACTCCCATTTGATGTGTACACATGATTCCCGAAATAGTTGATTCCCAGTGATTCCCGTCTGCTTTCATTCATTCCTTAGGTTTTATAGCGGTAGAAAACGCATAAGCGCGCCTATTTCGACAAATTTGTACCATGATTAATATGTGACGACATATATGTCTACATACCAGGTGGCTGATTCACGCCGCGCACTTCTGGAAGTATGCTGTACCGCATACACGAGTGCGGGCGGGCTTGCCTATCACCCCTGTCCGCGGCGCCTTACGAGCCGAGCGAGTAGGCAACCCACCCGCACTCGTGCATTCTGTACAGCATAACTACAGAAGTGCGCGGCTTGAATCAGCCACCTGGTACATGGTTGTATATGCTCATATATGATCATATATGGTATATCGTATGTATCGTATGTATATCGAAACATATAGGGAAGAGCGGGGCAGTTTGAGGAACGCTTCGTTTTTTGGCTCTAAAAACTGAACTATTTGTCGCACAGACCTGACGTTTTGACACAAAGAAGGTGGCATTGGCATGTATCAACCCTTTAAAGCGCGTTGCAATGCGGTGTCTTTGTGAGGAGATATAGCCAGTTCCTCATACTACCCCGCATTCCTCAAACTACCCCATGTGCGGGGCAGTATGAGGAACGCCGTGGGGTAGTTTGAGGAATGGCCTTTTGCTCTTCGTCAATGAATCGCATGGTATCGTGCTTTACAGCGTCAATGCATTGCCTCCTTCCCTTCACTGAGTCAAAATTGCACATCTGTACCTCAAATAGTTTCGTTTTTAGAGCCAAAAAACTAAACGTTCCTCAATCCTACTAAAATATGGCCTTCCAGCGGGGCAATCCTATCGGCCACACGCCATAGCATGGGCTGGCCTATCTTCAATCAGGTCTTCCTCAAACTACCCCGTTCTGCATTGATTCATTCAAATAATCCCTACAAAGTTACGGGGCGTTGTATCATACCGTCCGGCACGGCAAAATAAGCAGGAAGCATGTCTTCTCTTACACAAAAGGCCCCATCGCATCAGGGGCGCTCCGTAATATCGAAATTACATAATATATAAGGTGAAAAAACTCCCGTTTTGGCTGCCAACTTGTCTATTTTGACATTCGTAGTTTAAAAAACGCACCAGTTTACTCGCAGCTTTTACGTATGAACGTTTTTGAATGAAAGTACATTAGGACAATTTAGTACTCAACCTACGGCGGTGTCAGTGCCCGCAATCAAAATTTGTAGGCAGTTCCTCAAACTGCCCCGTTCCTCAATCTGCCCCACTCTCCCCTATGGAACCATATATGGTAATATATAATGCCATATACAATTAAATATAATCCAAATATAGCAGTATATAGTCATATATGTGGTCATGTATGAGGACATATATTACCATATACAGAACATATATAATTATATATGAAGTAAAGACCTCCATTTACCTGGGTTCGCTCCGCTGGCAACTCCGATCAGCGGGGGCCGAGGTTGCTTGGCCTTCCGATGGCGTTCGTTCTGGCTGGCATACGGGTAAAAGAGTACAGGCAGCTGGACTGTGCTGGACTGCGGGCCGTGCTAGAAGGGATCAGGACTTTAGGCCCCCGCCGCAAGCCACAGGCGCAGGCCGGGGCGACGCAGAGGCCTATCTACTGGATGCAGCGCGGCCCTGGCCGAGGCCCTGGCTCACCCTCGCTGGCCGAGGCCGCCACAATTGAGTTGTCTGAGACTCGGTGCACCTGGGGCGACCCGGGCCTTTGTGCGAGCCGCTATCTCTCGGTCCATCCCATACCACGTCGTGCAGCCTGGTGATGCGGATCGCGGCTCGTCGCCACAGCACAGAGTTCTAAATGCCAGCATACGCTCTGGGTCCGTCTTTATTATTTCTGTGTTACGCGCTTTTGTTTGACGTATCATGATAAGTATCAGTATCAAAAAGTAGGCCAACTAGTGCCAGCATGTCGTGCTCGCTAAAAGAAATCGCCCCCCAACCTCTTTCTCTCTTTTCACCTTTACACATTTTGTTTCCCGGCTCCTTGTCTTTCACCCTCCCCCTCTTTTTCCACCTCCCCACCATGGACCACATCAAAACTAATTTCTTTTCCACCCCGTTACCAAATCCAATTTACAAACGTGAGGGGAATCTTTGGCGGGCGACACACCTTGTCTGACGTTGCCGTCTGCACCCTGAGCGCGTGCGATTCGGCCCCGGACGAGGGAGAGCGGTAGGATGGGAGCTTTCGAGACTTGCGAGCTCCCCCCGTGCATTACCCCTTCCTCCTCTCAATCTCGACCACCGCCGGGCTGGACGGAGAGCAGGAAATGTGCCGCTGTATTCTCTAAAAACGGCCCCGCGTGACGCGCGCGGGCTTTCGTGTCGTGTACACAGCGGGCGCTAAGCGGTGGCGGGCGGCGCGGTCAGCCAATCTGACAACATGCCTCGTGAAATTGTCGACGCTTTGTCGCGGGGCTCTCTCCGTCACGCAAGGGCCCGCGAGCGGGAGGGGGAAGCGCACGTGGGCCGCAGTGGGATTTGTATTTCATTTACTGCTCCAGGATGGGCTATCAGACTGCTAAGGTAAAATGCCGCACCGTTTTCGAACGCACTGGTCACACTGCTGAATTTCCAGAGTACTTTGAATTAATACCAAAGACTGCAACATTTATTAATTCGAAGTTCACACGGCTCCTCAGGGTAGTGGTTTTGGCTGAGCAGGCCAAAAGGCTTGCTGCTGCCACGCGCCCCGCCCGCCTCGTGTGCATAGCAGATTATTATCTAATAACACAAGTGCTTTGTTAATAAAAGTAATTACAGAGAGGAGCAGCTCCGGTCTTTGTATAACCTCTCTCGCCCACGCCTTTTCCACGCCCCGGCCTCCCGGCTCCGGGCTGTGCTGGGGGCCTAGAGACGAGCCGGAGGAGGAAGGAGCCAGAGGACACAATATCTGCCTGCTCCCGCCTAGGCGCGCCTCCTGCCGGGACAATGCCGGCGGGTGAGCCCCGCCCGCCCGGTGGCCTTATCAAGTTAAACGTGAGCAGCCCTTGCTGCACTCCACGACGGCCTTACGTTGTTAAACTTGCATGACGAAGAACCAAAAAGAGTTTGCGCTCTATCCTGCCGTAAAGCAGAGTTTCGGGGCAAAGGTCACCATGTTATACTTATGCAGCGTATAGAACAGGAGGTAGTAAGTGCAAGACACAATTTTTAATCCCTGTGTAGTTACAGATGTGATGTGTCTCTTTCGGATGGGCGAAGTTTTATTTTGTTCAAATGTAGATACAAGTGTGTCAGTACTTATTCAAAATTGCATCTTGCTCGATTTGCGCTCAGAAGCATCTAGTATTGAAAAAATTGTCCCTTGCCGTTTAGTGTTGTATACGAGGTGGTACATGATCATGCATACTGAGATGTTTTCCTTTTAGTCCCTTCCCTTGCTCCATCCCCTTCTACATCGTGTGTAGCAGTCCGTGCCAGTTGGCTTGTAATTTTCCAACATTGTAATTACAGATTGGTGTCCTTTACTGGAGAAAATAAAGAAAATTGTTTTGCAGAAAATACAAATTTTTGGCATGTAACAGTTTATTA